ACCCAAACAAATCAGTACAAAGACTAATGACTTGACAAATCGGCTGCTTAAATATTCGCTGCTAGTATTAGTGGAGAGGAAAATGGCGCCGCCTGCGCGCAAGGCGTATAAAGGAAATAAATGCAACCTGATAATAGTAATCAGTCATTAGCAAATGTTGTAGTTCGTTAATAATAATTTTGTGTAACAGAATATTATAAAAATTAAGTTATGAAATTTTTATTAAAATGTTGATTACATACCATTATATTGGGTGAGCCGCAAAAATATTTGTTGTGGGCTGTGAGTTTGACATGCTTGATCTAGAGCAGCGGTTCTCAACCTGTGGGTCACGATCCCTTTGGGGGTCGAACGACCCTTTCACAGGGGTCGCCTAAGACCATCGGAAAACACATATATAATTACATATTGTTTTTGTGATTAATCACTATGCTTTAATTATGTTCAATTTGTAACAATGAAATTGGGGGTCACCACAACATGAGGAACTGTATTAAAGGGTCGCGGCATTAGGAAGGTTGAGAACCACTGATCTAGAGTGTTCTTAGTAAACTTAAAGTTCAGTAGATGTTGGCAGGCAGCCAAAAAGTTCGGGACTACTGTTTAAAAATATATTTTATGTTTTGGTACCTAATGTCTAGAATTCTTATATTTTGAGTCAGTGCTTATCTCAGTTGGCTTTAATCCTTTTTTTATCTTTCAACAGATTATCTCTGTTACTAGATCTTCAGTTTGCTCAAGAAATCACAATGTCTCGTTCACGACAACCCCCCCTTGTGACAGGCATCTCTCCAAATGAAGGAATACCATGGACCAAGGTCACAATTAGAGGAGAAAACCTGGGAACTGGCCCAACCGACCTCATAGGTAAGGGCAAGGACTATGCTGTGTATCCATGGTAAATGCATTTTTATGTTAGACAGTTGAGGCAAGATATATTATTTTGAAATAGTGAAGGTGATAGAAAAACATTATTGTGGTCTGTTCAAAATGATCTGAATAAAAATAAGGAAATTATTTGATTTTGTGATTTTTCTGTTAAAAAATCATTATTTTATCAAATCGTATCTATATTGTCTTTCACTAAAGTCCTTCAGAAAGTTTCCCATAGTGGAAATTTGCCTCTGTTTCCTCATCTTTGCTCTCTCCTGCTTAGATTGCCTAAAGTCTCCTAGCTATTTTTGCTCTCTTTAGTTTTTCTTTGATTATACAACACTTTGTATTCTTTCTCAAGAGCTCTGGGAATTATGCCTCTTCTGTTCCTTCTTTTTAAATTAAACCTAAACTCCATCTCCTGGTGATGTCAGTACCATTTGGCTCTTATTCCACCCAAAAGAGACTATCCCACCCGGTGACCTGGAGATATTTGTTTTCTTTTCTCTACCACATAGCTGCTCCATCATGTTGGAGATCACCACCACTATTCTGAAATACAATCTCTGCCTGCCAAGCCTGGACTCTTACAACCAAAAATCTTCAGACTAATTCTCACCAATGTTAATCTATCTTTTTTATTTAGACTCCCCTAATATTTACATATTTAGAGCAAGCTAGATTTTAGTTTTTAGGGTCATTTTGTTTTTTTAATCTTTTTAAGCTCAAGGACATGAATGACAGAAAACTATGCATCCACAAATGACGAAGCATAAATATTATTAGACTAGATGCAGCGGTTCTCAACCTGTAGGTCGAGACCCCTTTGGCGAGTCGAACAACCCTTTCACAGGAGTTGCCCTAAGACCATCCTGCATATCAGATATTTACATTACAATTCATAATAGTAGCAACATTACAGTTATGAAGTAGCAACGAAAATAATTTTATGGTTGGGTCACAACATGAGGAACTGTATTTAAAGGGCTAGAAGGTTGAGAACCACTGGACTAGAGGCCCAGTGCACGAAATGTATGCACTTGTAGGGTCCCTAGGCTTGGCCAGCAATCAGGGCCGGCCAGGGCCTTCCAGCTGCTGGCTGCCGGCTGGGGCCTCCCTTCCCCGGCTGCTGGCTGCTGGCCGGGGCCTCCCTTCATTCAGCACCACCCCTTGGTGGTCAGTGCGTGTCATAGTGAGCGATCGAACTCCTGGTCAGTCAAACTCCCAAGGGAACACTTTGCATATTAGGCTTTTATGTAGATAGATTTGTTGCCTAGGATAGGAAACCCCTATGACAGCTAACAAAGTACAATATTTCTGCAATAATAATTATGATAATGATGTTGAAAATTGCAAGTGCCTGCTTTGTGACAGCTGGAGTTGTTGTAAACATTGTATAAATAGCAACTCATTTTAGTGGATAGTATGACTGAACACTGGGCACTTGGCTTCCTTTCCCTAATCCACCAGACCCTGGTGACACTAATGGGAGGTAGGCCATGTCTATAAAGAAATAATTTACTTTGATGATGGTGGATAAAAGTTCTGAACCATGAGCTACCCTCATTAAAGAATGGTAATGGTAACCAACAAAAAAAGGTACCTTTATTTATCTATTATCTTTTGCCATCTTAATTTGCAATGATAAAGAGTCTTGTTTCCACTTTACTTAGATGAAGAAGTTGAAAGGCCAGGCAGCCATCTTGGTTTTATTCTCTCCCCTCACTGCCCCTCCCCACCCCCACCCTCAACCAACCTCTCATATAATAACATAGGACAAATGGGTTTTTCAAATTTAAGTCTTCTTTTCTTTTTTTGGTTGTTAAGATGGTCGTTTTTTCTCTTCCCTTCAGAATGTTGCCATTTTATTCAAGGCATTCCCCAAGCCTCCTCCTCTCAGTTCAAATCTTGTACTGGAGCAGAGTTAAAGCTGCCTAAGGCCACACCACATGACCAGTAAGAGCCAGTGGCTTAATAAAGAGGTTCCCGTAATTCAGCTGCCTAGAGTGCGAAGGCCAGTCCTGCTGCCTTTCTTTCCCCTCCGCTGGGAGCGCTCACCACCCCAGGCCTTGGAAAGCTACATTTCCAAAACTACTCACTCCCATTCTACCACAACAAAGCTTTCTCAGGGCACACAACACAGCACCCTCTTCCCCAGGCCCTAGAAAAACAGCACTACCAGGCCAGCAGCTCCTCCCCGAACGTGCCTCCCGCAACCCTGGGCCAGGATGCCTCAGACCCCCTCTGGTGTCCCCTCTGGACACCTGAGTGCTATGGTTCAGAAGCTGGGGAGACAGGAAAAGGGAGGTGGAACCAGGGCAATTTTCAGAAGCCCAGGCGAGTCCAGACTGCTGGTAGGCTGAACCTCACCCACTCCCCACCCAAGTCCTGTAACACCACAGCCAGGCCGGCTTCTTGAAGGGGTTGCAAGTTTCAGTGCTCCCTGCAAGAGTCAGAGTTCTCTCCATCCTGGCAACTGGGAACAAAAGGCAACCCCCAGCCCTCTGGCAACATTGACCCTCCTGAATTAGACATACACACCCTGGGATTTCTGTTTCCTACACAGAGAGAGGGAGAAATGGAGGATGGGAGTAGGGGACCAATGAGGGAGTAGGGTGTGGCGATTCATGGAGGGATCAAAGGGTTGGTTAAAGTCACCTCCATGCCCAGGACAGAGCCAGGTTTAGGGACAGCGGCCTGCCGTCGCTTGTGTCAGTGTCCAGG